CTGACTGACTGACTGACTGACTGACTGACTGACTGACTGACTGACTGACTGACTGACTGACTGACTCTGTTTGTCTGTTTGGCTGACTGACTAAATGTAACAAGGGAAAAGTAACTACGTTTTTCCACCAGTTCTATCCGATCCATTGTTCAGGTACCTTGAGGACGATGCTAATATCTGATTTAGAAACGCATAAAATAACGGAAATAAAAAGGATCTTAACACTGTTCTATGTTTTGATTTGCCCTCAGCCATGCTGAATCGAAATAAACTTGTGCTGAAAAACTATTCTGAGTGGCAGAGAATCGTGATTTTGTTTTGCAGTAATAAACTTTAAATTTGCGCTGCAACTCGAGATCAGCTACTACCTTGCTCTGATATTTTTCTCCCTGATTATCAACAATTACTTGCAACTGTTTTATCTGATTCACTGCTGTTTTTGCCTGACGTTGTTTGTTCGCTACTGTTCATGAATATCAATGGTGCTGATAGCAGCTGATGTTAGCTAAGAGAATAAAACGGCCGTTATAATTCGTTTAATTGATTTTACCATCCTTCGATTCCTTTGGGTTGCGGGTGCGGCGGGTTCGGAATTTTTGTAGGGGAATCGGTCGTCCATGAATTGGGGTGAATCACAGGATGCGACATTGTCAACTCGAAAAGCACTTCCGAAAGTCTTAAATAAAACATGCAGCAACAGTCAGCCATGATTCTTGGAAACTGTAAGATCTGTAGAAATTGCATCAACATTGAACATATGAGCTCAAGTATAGCAGATGCTTGGGTAAATTGAACGATATTCTAGTTATATAAAATTAATCGTAATGGATTTCTTGCCACACAGACCTGAATTTGTACAGCCGCTTTTTAGTTAGGTTTATTCACTTTTAGATCCACGATGTTCTCATGTTTTTGATAGAACGTCATCCACAGAAACCGACTGTGCTGATCTGCGGATTTTCTGAATGGGTATCGAAGATGATCGCTGACGGTTTCTTTGTAGCTGCTTCGCGGTTCTTCAGAACTGAAGGAAACGTCTCACAGGTATATGTTAAATTGTCGTTCGTTCTTTTATTGTGCATTTAGGATTTTCAATTGGTCCTCGATTTGTACAACGGCTCCTGGCAAGGTATTGCTGATTCGTTACGTGCACTGCTACTCTCCAGACAGCAAGTCGATCCGTCGATCGACGAATATTTCGGTAAAGTTTGTCTTGTGGAATATTTTCTGCATACTTTTGGTTGTCACATACTGAACATTGTGACAAGACTTTATTGCTACAGTGCATAATAGACAAGCGTTAACTTAAAAAAACAAGGCATTAAAAAGTGTTCGCTCCACTTTCCAGAGTTATGACGTATTACACCGCCTTCATCTGAGCGATTTGCCTAAGGAATGATTTAGACATATCACGATTGTTTGGTATTTCACAGCCGTACTATATACATCTAGCATAAACAGTTGTGTTCGCATACGCTTATACTAGGGAAATGGTGCGATAGTCTGAGAAACACCTTAGTTATGTTGAAGTTCTTTCAGGATTTAAGAGCTTGTTAACATTCTCTGGCGTATGAATGTATATTTTTTGTTTATTATGAGTACCCACTCCTGAAGCATGATTTGTGATGAGGAAAAAAGCGGTGAAACTCTGTAGTTATAATTTTCTTTCGAACAGAACGAAGATGCATACATATATTGCCGGGTTTTATGCTTTTCATTTTATAATGGTCCATTTGTAACTGGCTGGTTGCTCTTCAGTGGTGCCATGACTTGCTTGAATGCCACTCCGTATATGAGGAAAGGGCGGTGGATTACGCCGTGAAAGCTGGTCTTAAATTCGTTATGCATTATCTGAAGTCGCTTTATTATGAAAATTTAGGTGAACACGATCTTCATGTGGCACGCCTTGATGCCTGTATCGACGTTCTCCAGAGAATGATAATCCAGCCATCCGATTATATACGGTATCCTTCCGTCTTTTATTTATGTGGTAGTATGTGTAACCTTAAAGCGTAGAAGAATTTTTTTTCCTGGCAAGTAATGTCAGAGACTGCACCCTACACCTTGTATTAGGAGCAGTTTTAACTTTGCCCCATTCAGAATCAATTCGTATCGTCTCTTGACCCTGTCCTTCTTTCCAGAGTTTTGGAGGATCCCGTTGAGCAGTAGAAATTGAATGGTGGTCAGTTGTGCAAATTGTTTTCCGTCTGTTTTCCATCGGTACGCATTGAGAAAATAAGTAGCATATTTGTAGGTATCTTTCATGCTGCTGATAATTACGTGTTATTAGAGGCAGATTTGAACTCTGAACTTTGCTACCACACATGCATCTACCTTTCTTTCTATTCTTGCGGGGAGCGCAGTTTTTTTTGAATTTTTTTATTACTCGTAAATATCCCATTCAACGAGGTTATCTTTTGTATTTTCTCTGCTTTTTAGCATCGATCCAGTCTCTCTTGATGAAAGTGTTCGTTCCGAAATGGACTGCGTTGAAGACATTCAGGAATTGCATGAACAACAGATGTGGAGTTTCGAGAACTGTTGTGTAAGTGACGCAGCGACACACTGTTGGAAAGTTTCTTGATCTTGTATACGGTTAGTAATACCCATCCAATTTTTTCTCTTTAGCACGAGGCATTATTTACTGTTGTTTGAGAAAATGTAAGTTGAGTATTATTGTGTTTTTTCTCAAACAAAGGATTGAAGCATGGCCGGCATGCGTGTGAACGTATCTAAAACGAAAAGCCGCGTTCTTGTTTTCCTATCCGTTGCTTTCTTTAGGATAAACGGAAAAGCAGTGGAGCAGGTCGGGATCGTGTTTACCGATGATCGAAAATTTGAGGAAGAGATCGACCGGCGAATTGGATTAGCCAATTGCGTCTTGCATGAATTAGCCCGAACCATTGTGACTGAAGCAATGCTGAGTCTGATGACTAAGCTTTCGGTATTCAAGTCGATCTGTATCCCCATGCTTATCTTCTGTCATGAGTCGTGGACTCTGACTGTAATTGTTCGAATCCAGGTGCAAGCTGCTGAAATGGGCTTTCGTAGACGAGTTTCTAGCCTCACGCTTCTCGATATGGTTCGGAATACCGACATCCGGGAAAGTCTTGGTGTAGAGCCTTTGCTTCTCCAGATTGAGAAGTCGCAGCTGCGATGGGGCATGTATTGCGAATGCCTCCAGAAAGGAAGGCGGAGCAACTCTTTTTTTTGCGAAAACGACCGGTAGAAGGCCCAAGAGACGGCCAAGATTAACCAGGAGCAAATATATGGAAGGAGTCTGTTCCAGACTCCAGTTGTCTTCTGCCGAAGCTGAGACTCTGGCACAGTATCGGGAACGTTGGAAACAGTGTATGAAGCATCTGCCTGCGTGACCCGAAGGGAGAAGCGGCCATGGAAGATATTGATGAATATCGTATCTGCATGTTATGGAGAGGAAAGAATCGCATGGATAGCCTGGACTGCTTTACCATGAAAGATTTCGTTTTCTGTTTGAAAGAGCAAGTTTTCGTCGCAGTAGTTCTCTCACCAAAATCTTGTCTCAAACTAGTTGCTTACTGCAGTCCATTTTATATAGTTAGTATATAAAGAGTACCAGCTGTTGATATGCTGTTCGTAATGAGTTAGAGACAATATGATGATCGATGTATCTGGCGCTGCACGTGGTCTAACGGAACCGTGACCTGCCTTAAACTCCCCCTGGGCAACTATGACCTTGGTGAGGTGCAGTAGGTCGTAAAATCTAGGCCTGCAAGAATTATTCGTTATTTACAATATATGCAGGTGAGTTTGTTTAACACTGCATTAATGAAACTTTAAGGTGTGTGCTCAAAGGACATGACTGATACTAGAGTAATCTTAATCACTTTTTAATTAACTATTTGAAGAACGCCTGAGAAAAATGTAGCAACGGAATTTTGTTTCCCCGCAACTCTTACCTATCCTCCTTTAGCAAAGCTTTTGAGTTAATTTTGCCCTCTTTCTCTGAAGGTCTTTCTACAGGTCGTTCTATACCATTTGGAAAGCAGTCTAATATGTCTGGTACTCTGACAGCTATACATAATTTGATATAGCTAATGACTAATGATCTTTTGGTTCAGTTCATAAATGCTGGCAACATCAGCCGAAACTGTGATCCGGTATTAAAACGTTTTACCTAAGTGTACATTACTAATTAAGTTGTAATACTACATTCATTAATGCGGATAGCACTGACAATGTTGTCTGTACATAAACCTTGCCTTTTTTCATGCATTGACGGGGAATGGAGCAGGTCCTATTTTGACTGGCTTTGTTTAATTTGGCCAACGTCTTTATGCTGTACCGTTCTCTTTGAAACTGTGCTTTGTCAGCACAGATGCCGTAACGTAAATCGTGCAACTCACAGCTCAAGAACATGGCTGATGTAAAGTCAGTGAATGTTTTTTATATCAGTTGGGTCTATTGGCGTTTATAACTATATCCAATAATACCCGTTTTGCATTCCGGATTCAACTTCATCATTGGCGACAGACAGATCGAATTCACGCACTTGTGGTTAGTCAGTTTTTAACCGTTTGGTAGCTCTATATTTGGAATATTTAAAAACGTTCAGCTACTTTCTCTTTTTCAGAAGGATGCTGTGATTTTCATTGAAGAAGGTTCTGACATGGCGCTATGGGCAGGATTGCGTGAAATGGTCTACAAGGCGCTGCATAAATCTCGAACCGAAGCAAAAGCGAGCAAAAGTAAGTACTGAAAATTTGTGATTTTCGGTTGCATTTCATCATTCGGATTTGTGTCTTTGTTGCTTCATCTAATTTAAGCTTAAGGTGGTGGCTTGGCGGTACAGTGTCTAAAGAGGCCAGCTTTGAACCCCGGAAGGACTGGGTTCGAATTCGCTCAAGTTATAAATTTTGTCCTAACTGCGAATTTCCTTGAACAGCGAATTAGCCCCACGTTGCTTTGGCACAACCAGCCGAGAAACATGCGCTAAGTCCTTGACTTGCGATTAACATAAACAGCTTGGTGTAGCCATACCAGACGGGATGAGATGCACGACGATGCCGTCTGATGCGAACGCCACTTTTTGGCTGTGTTTTACTGACAATCCGCCTGCTAGCTGACTATCCACTGTAATAATCAACGCAAAGTGTAACCCAGATTTAGATTTCGATACTTCAGGCCTGAACAAACCGTCCCTGTAATGTTGTCTAGATTCTTTCATTGTAATTCGACCTTATTCTCTCGGTAGGAGTGCCATTTTGGACGTCGACATTTCGACGCTCCTCCATTCTTCTCTTATGTAGAGAGTTTTTTGATGAAAGGTGGTTCGGTAGTCCATTTGAGGATCAACTCTATTGCTCATGTTTTCCCAACGTTCGTCCTACTTAAAAATTCAAAAGCGTTAAGTATTTTCGATTTTATTGTGGCGGTTTATAATTCTTGAGTAGTGGCCAAATCCAGCGCCACAATTTACCGGAAACAGGTTCCTGAACCACTTTAACGTTCGGATTTCAACAGGATTACCTGGAATGATTATGCTTAATTTATTACTTCGTTTTACCGCTAACTCGAATTAAGATATTCATAGTTTATCTAGTTCTTGTTTGAAATATATAAGGGAGTTATGATTGCACGTAACATATTGGAAATGAAATATAGATGTAGAGTTCATATGCATAACGAATTACTCCTAAGCTCTACGGCAAACGTCTGAGAACAGCAGTTTTGGATATCGCCGGAAACTAAACTGTCCTTTTCCTTCACCGGATTTGCACCGCGTAATTTCGTTCGTTTCCTTGCTTACAGATGCACAATTAATATTTGCAGCAGGACACAGCTCCAAGGTATTTTAGAACCGGAAGTACGTGGATTCTATATCGTGTCACAAGTTTAGGTATAGCCAATATGCTCGAATACTGAGCTGGATTGAGTAATGACGGCTGGAGTACTGAAACCGAGCATATAATGCATATTTTCAGTTTTATATTTATTTTGGAATAAAGGTAGTTTAATTCTTTTTCGAATAGATTGTTCCTCTGTCAAGCACAGTGATGCGGTGCAGTATTTATGTACCATGGGTGCTATGGCACCACAGAGCCAGGTGAAAGATTCCATGGACATGTGGAAGCAATAGGACAGTGTGATTACGCCGATTAAACTTTGAGAAATGACAAGGATATCGAAATTTGATGTAAATTTAACTTTTGCTAGCGTACCTAAAATTTTTTGGTTACTAAGCCGTAAGACGTTTAGAACAAGGTTTGTAAATCGGAGTTCATGCAGTGGAAGAGTTAAAG